CATTGTACGAGACTGGGCTGTACGTTTAGTTTGTACAAAAGACCCAAATTTTAAAAGAAATAAAATAAGGACTTAGTCTCGCCACAGAACCAAAACACATCTTACAAAACAATCTGCTTGTTAATTGAAACACGACAGAAGCACCAACGCAAACAACTTTGTACAAAGTCTAGTACCTAAAACCTGTCTACGTTCTAAATCATATTATATTCCAATGGACCAGCAATGTATGGGTTCCAAAGATAAAACATTCCAAAGTCTGTTCAATCTTACATCTTACAAGAGATATCATATCTTAGTCGTTGTTAAAAATATAGGTGTCGGTATTAAATAATATTCTACGTCCTATCTGTTATTTTGCAAATCTTTGATCATCTTTGAAACATTCTGTGTTAATTGTTGTACCATGTTTATGCCATAAAGATAAGCCAAAGTGTCCACTAGCAAAGCTTATGGCACTTAAATACCAATACTTAAGAGTTAAGTGCTACTCACTGATAATTTGGTTAAACAGTGATTCAAAGAGCTTCTGTTGAATGGAGCTAACGTGCAACGTTTTGCAATATTTGTTTTTATATATATATATGTATGCAAGTATATATAACAAGGGTGTTAATAAAACATAACATTTTGTTCTCTTGTTAATAAGTGCAAGTAGTAAGCATGGAGACAGGTACTGCTACCAACGCAGATAAAACTGTACGTAGCACATACTACGTATATCTCACGTAGTTCTGCCGCCAGAGGCTTGCTTTGCAACCTACATATATTTATAATGCATCCGTACAAAGCCGCGACCAGAAATAAAGATTTGATAATAAGTTACTTATACTTAACAGTACTCGTTGGTAACAGAAAATAACTTTGACACCAATCCCAATCACTTCGGTTGCTCTAAAAGAAACGAAGATTACAGATTCCACGGCGGCTTACGTTACATATTTAATTTTATATTTCATGCTGCGCCGTCCTGTCACACCGACGCATAAAGGGCTGCTTAACGGATACGCTTAATCGGACAGGTTGTCGGATGTTTTGACACGAGCTCAATTACCTGCCGGTCCTGCGGCGGGCGCGAGCGATCGGCTCACATCCGTTGATATGTATGGGATAATTCCTGTTACGATACGGTGTGAATGTACGCCTATGTGCGTTCTCAAGATAAAAATGTTCAATGTTGGGAGCTGGGATTATTTCCGACTGGCTTTACGCGATATGTACCATCGTTTCGAATCTGATTTTCATCTGATTTAAAAAAAGAAGGATGTGTAGAACATTATATGTATTTCTTTTCAGTGTTCCGTTACGCAGTATCTTTGTAAATTTTGAATATGCTCAACTCATTGACAAAAGAAGGAGAATTCAATTTGTAGATATTTTCTGTGAATATAATTGAGTCAGAGAACACCATTGAGACATCTTCACTAATAGTGAATGAAATACAACGATTTTATTTATAATTTTTAAGTTTCATGTTGATATCATAGTGAATCTGTAATTATTGAAGGCAGTTCGTTTGTGAAAGGTAAATTACAAATTTCGATTATTTATAACAAGTGTACGCACACCCATAATAAGATAATGTATAGCATATATACATCCTTGACGATCTCAAATACTGATTTAGGTACCTACATTTCAATCACAATGGTTGATCGAGCTGTAATATTTAAGCGGTAACAAACATACAACATAACTTTTGCAACGTTAGTAAATATTGACAATACAATAACAAATTGAGCATTTCCAAGTATTCTGGATGTGAACCGGACAGGGTCATTGCTGAATGCATGCGAGTGCATCAATGCACCCACTGTGACTGCGCATGGGAGCCGCAACATCAACACGCAAGTGTTAATTACAGATAATATACCTACTTGCAAACATTTTAAACACCATTTTTTATAGCGACTACAATTGCAAATAATTTAATAGTCTCATTTTTCGTTGTAAGTGGACAGTATTTGGTATGTAATTGGAATGGTGTGTAAGTTGACGACCCCTGATGGTTTTTTCTCAGACTACTCTAATGCTGTTTGGCCGCAGCTGGCCCTTATAGCTTCACCGGACGATAGGGGACGAGTGCAGATGGCACTCCGAACCCGCGGAAGGACTTATGGAGCAATTCCCGGCTGACGGATACGACTTTAGTCTGAGAGCACAGCTAGAGGTTCGAAACTCGGCTCAGGCGGTCGTAATTTCGATCCCCGTTTAAATTGTACGGGGGATGGATCGGAGGGACATCACATGATGGTAAGTGGTGACCATCGTTTATATACATATACTGCATACCGGCATCACTTCATCACGTTTTGCCATTCTGGAGAATTGAGATGTTATACCTCTTGCCCTGTAATTTTACAGCCTAATTACTTTACAAAAAGAAACACAGCTTATAAAGCAAGTTTTTAACTATGATGGTAATCAAATCAAGCATAGGGACCATCTGATGGTAAATGCTGCAGTTAAGTAGCTTGGCGACTAAAATATCTCATATATTTATATAGAGCTACACAGACTACTTTTCACAAAGTCTTCCTTCATAAAAGAGTATCCAAAATTTTTCTGCGATAGTATTTTCTTATGTAAATATTAAGTAGGTATAGAATGTTATAATAAAATAAATACTTTATGATAAATATGACTGTTAGGTGTTCAATATATAGTAAACAATCATATTGATGAATATTCATAGTGACATATTGATGATAAATAATTATAATTAATTCCAACATACAATGTATGGCAATTATCATTGACAATGACACTAGATTCAATACACCTCTCCCGTAAGGTTCATGCCATGAAGAAACATAGATACTTCATCTACACTGATAGATATATAGATTTGCATACATTTCACTACAGAATAATTTCATTTTTTTTAAATTAACTTCAACATGTAGTAACATTAAAATCTTATTATTATCAAGAATGCTTTTATGTCTATGAAGGGAAATATACTTAGATCATTTTATTACATTTATTTAATTACCCTATTCTTAACATAAATTAACACATTATTAAAAAACATTCCCTCTGAATCAACTACTTAACTGATATTATAAGCTATTCTGCATTTTAAAATTTTTAGTTTTTATTGTAAAATGTTTTTGTCATCTGCTGTTCATATCCTATTAAGGTAATATGTTTTTCTCTTCCATTCATCCCTGTTCACAGTCATCTTGTTACCTATTTCCTTTCTTGATATACCATATTTTTTTACAATCCATCCATCTCCTCTTCGGTCTTCCTCTGTCCTTATAACCATCCACATCCACATTTTCTAATTAAAACTATTGGTACATAATACATGTAATAATATAAAACACAAGCCTAATAGATATATAGTCATAATCATAACCATACATATTGTATATGTGATAAGATATGTATGGTTATGAGTATCTAAACTACTCGTATCTATCACATCTATCTATACTCCAATATTTATATACAAATACTGTGTAGTACATATATATACCATTGAGGAAAAATGTTTCCCATAATTGTTATATAAAATAGTTAACACTGTTTTACTTATTAAACTTGAGTTATGGTTTTGTATTAAATTATACATAAAATAGAAAAGCAAATTAACAGATATGCTTAATATTATTTTATTTAATATTTAATTACTTTTATTTACATTTCCGACTCACCATATATTTTATGTAACTTCTATAAAATTGAAAAGCAAAATAATAGTTACAAACTATATTATTTTATATAGTATATAGATTTTTTTAAATTAAGTTTTATAGAAATGACATATAAGTAGATAGAACAAAAGAAAAAATCTTGTTCAATTAAGTTTGTGTTACTTAATAATAAAATAAAATACTTACTTAATAATAAAATAATTAATAAAAAAATAAAATGTTCTCATTGTTACCTTTTTTTTTATTGTGTACTTTGTACATTTTCCCTAACAATAAAAAAAATGGGTGATGACTAAAATACCACAATTAGAAAGGTTTCTTTATAACTAGAATAATTTGTTCAGAATGTGTTTATTTGAATACTCATTGTATAACACCATACATTGTTACCACTTTTCATGACAATAATGGCTTAATGGTTCTAATTAATTTGGACTTGAAGATAAGTTTTCTTATAGATTACTAGTAGTAGTAGTAGTTTCACCAAACTATAGAGGGTGAGCACAGATGGCACTCCAAACCCGCAGAAGGACTTATGAAACGGCTGAAGGCCAACTCCTGCCTGATGATGAAGATAAATTATCAGAATGACACTTGTATCTTTCATATAAAAAAAATCTGATACAGTCTGTAACAATTGAATACTAAATAAATAGTAACTAATATGTACAAAAGTAAATTAATTAGTTAGTTTTTAGTATTATGAGATATTAATACTCTTTATACATCCACACTATTAGCCAATTTTTATATATTTATTTCTGTCTGTTAACTATATAAATATGCATAGTAATTATTAAGATAATCCTAAGTTGTTTATTTTAAATAATCATAATATTAGTTTTTTTTTAATAATTTAAATATAAGAGACATAAATTAATATAACTACCTATTCCTGTCATAATATTAAACTAAAAAATTTTAAATGTAATAATATTAATAATGTTTTTATTACAACTTTTAGACATCATTATTTTTAATAAAACCTAAATTATAGGTAAATTATTAATACACAATGTTCAGACTCATATAGTCCCCTTAAATGAGACGAAAAATTATATATCTGGAAATTTTATCTAAAAATACACTAGAAAAGTATGTTATATTTCAGATAGGCATTTAGGTCAGTGGGTAGACATCCATAAATATTCAGTTGTTGTTTTTTCGATAATTTGTCATTCTGGTTATCAGACGAATTAAATGTTCAACAAGTTTTAACTATGATAAAAATAACACACAACGATATTTGTTAACCTTAAATATTAGGTAGTATAAATAAAATAGGAATTATTTGCAACAACCATAAAATTTTAGCCAACAACAAAATTTATAACTCACCGCAAAAAAGAATGAAGAAATCCATACTGATTTTTCGCAAAATAAACTTGGAGTTACGGTCCATTGTTGTTATATTGTGATGGTGATTATTTCTTTCCATTATAGAAAGAATTTAAAATATAAATACACTTGAGCAGATGCTCGATGTTACGAAATAACGTCAAAATCGTAAAATACTGTTAAGAATTGACATAACACGTGAATAAAGACGAACATGCGCGCGCAGACTGTTAGTAGCTAGAGAAGCGAACAGTGTCGCCAACACAGCGTTAAGTTTTCGGGCTACATTGATCCAGTTTTGTAACTTCAACTATCGTTAAATACAATCAAAATATATAGTGATAAATGAAATAGATTAGAAAACTGTAATTTAGTTTCATCATGTTAGCAATATAATATCAAAACGTATAATATATGAAACGATAAACATAATAATAATAATAAAATTAAAAATTATAGTGTCAGTATTTTCATTTAATTTTAAAAACATATGTATAATTTCTAAGTCAAATCATTATCATATACATAATATGGTATAAAAAAATTCAAAAATAATTCGAAGTTTACAATTATAACTTCTCGTAGTGTTCTTTTGTTGATGATAAATTAAATACAAAATATATATATATAATAATATATCATTCAATTTGTTATTATATTGTTTAGCCTGACTAATATTAAACTATAATATATTATATATATATATATCATTAATTTTATTTTAAAACCAGTATTATTTTTTATTTATTATTTTACTCTGGTATTAATAACTATTAAATTTGAATAATAATTCTTATATATAAAAATATCTTATATAGGAATATTGAAAACACTTATTATTATAATATTATAACTCTAATTTGTGGTAAATTTGGAAAATGATCTCAGTTGAGAAAAAATGATAAAAAATTTTACGTAGTATTTCTAACACATGTTAATACCGAGCTGGCACGATATTTCTATATCTGGTTACATTTTTCTCTGACAGCGCGACACACATGCATAAGTTGCTGTCAGTAGTGTCAAATATTATGTAGGTATATAGATAAGCCTACGTCGAGTCCAGCAGTGGACTACAGTGGGCTTATTGAAACTAATGATACTGATTGTCAAAATTTGACATTTATTGCAATTTATCATGCCGCGCCATAGTTTACGAAATAGACTAAAACTTATTACATACCTCAATTAGTAATTGGTTGCCGGTTAACTTTTTCTGTGATATTTAATTTGCATACATACAAATTCACAATTTTATTCCTGTCATATATAGGGACACATTATTCAATCCGAACCGGTCGAAATCAGTAGTCGGCTGCGTTTAAATTATGTCGTTAAACAACAAAAGAACCATTTTTCATTTCTGTTGGATTACCATGGTTTATTTTTTAATGTATTTTTTATATAAAGAATGTCGTCACTTTGATTGTACTCGGTAGCTTTTGAATTGACACCTGTGGTGAATTTACCTTTCGGCTTATGATGTAGGTAATAATTAATTTCTTTTACCTGATGTGTGATGAAATACCGATTGTTTATTTAGTGTGTATTGTAAATAACTGATGAAACTGCAAATTTTTAAGTGTATAAAATATTTAGGATCTTATATAGTCGAAAGTAGCTATTAGTATTAAAATTATGTTAAAAAAATCTTAAAAATCTATTCATAAGGAACTAAAAGACTATTCGAAAACGATTTGTAAGATCTTACCTAGAATATTTTTATACATGTCAAATATTTTTTTATAAAAAATATTATATTAAAAAAAAAATTGAATTTAAAAAAGCTCGAAATATAAAACTTATTTTCTGTATCCTCGTATTAATAATATTGATCATAAAATTGTCAACAGCGCCATCTGTCCGAATAATTTTAAACATTTTAACATTTTGTTTACTGCCATCTAGCGGTGTAAGTTTCAATTATTTATTTTAATAATTCCGCGCTCTTGCGTATAGAGGGCGTCGTACCAAATATCTCGCAAGCATAAATTTACAATCAAATCGTAATAGATGTCGCTAAAATAAATAATTAGCATTATTTAATTTCATTCATAAACAAAATAAACTTTTATATTTTATTACGGTTTCCTATTGCCTATTTAACTCTTGCTTAGTTTGATGTTGGCATTAAGACTCCGCTTAAGAATGGACTAGCGGAGAAAGAATTTAGTTAGTTAATTATGACTATTTTTAGGGTAGAAATGTTCCTTATGATACTTATGTAATATTATGTTATCTGTGATTTGTGCTTTTCTTTATCGTATAGTATTATATCTAATCCTATATGTAATAGTATTGACAGTGTCAAAGATGATGATATTTTGAAGATTATGACGATGACTTCAATTACTCCATGGCTACGAATTAAACTTATCGCTGTGGTTTTCAAGGGGATCCCCGTGGAGGTCGACCTGATAGGGTATAAAGCTAATAATGAGGCCATTACTTTCTATTACACATCACATTCTATGATCACACAGATAGTGTAAAAGGTTAATGCAAAAAATGTAATGCTACACATTTTTTTAAAAGGGCAACAAGCAAGTTTCTTGATCATTTTTGTTATGAGTCTGTTTCCAGGGGGAAACGTGTGGAGGTAAACCTGACATGGTATATTACATCAGTTATATACCAGTATATTAGCTTAGGCTATGAAATTATAGGATAACTAAGCATGCTATCTTAGTTTTCTGGTATGACAATGCAGTTTGTTTGGCACTTACGATTTCATAAAAAAATCACGTAACACAACCAATTATACAATCCTTACTCCTTACTAATATTATAAATGCGAAGTATCTCTGTCTGTCTGTCTCGCTTTCACGCCAAAGCTAGTGGACCAATTTAAATGTTTCGTACACAGATACTCTAGACCTTAAGAAAGGATGTAGGCTACTTTTTAATGCAAAATAAGGGTTCCAAGGGATTGAAAGGGGAGATGATAAGATTGTATGGAAATATCGTCATTTTTAAAGCTGGATGTTTGTAATTTATGTTTTAGGCTATTGTTTAAATATAAATATACATGACACTCAAAGTTTTTAAAAATTTTACCCTTAAGGGGCTAAATTAATATAGGGGATGAAAGTTTTTAGGGAAAATAGTCATTTTTGAAGCTAAAACGATTAAATTATTTCTTTGGGTAAGATTTAATATATTTTCATTTTTTGGTCAAGGTCACTATAACACGCAGACGAAGTCGCGGGCTCAGCTATTTATTTATATAAGCTAAGATATGTCCTACGTCAATCTTATCGATATGACAAAGACGAGCTTAGTAAGTTTACCCGCCCCCGTATGCTTATCTTGCGAATTCAAACATTTACTTAGCCATGGATTGTATACCTACCTATTGTAGGTAGAAGGTATAGCATAGTATACATGAGTACATATCTGTAAACTACCCACATTTTATATAGGTAGCCCAGTGGTCGAAATTAGACCCTAATTAATTTAACATTCAGTAAGCCTATAGACAAGTAATAATAAAGACAAACCATATTAATCTATTCTCAATTTAACCACAGACTTTAACAATAAACAAAAGAGTATCTACCTATATATATGCTTGTGTATGTCAAGTAGGTACATGGTGTGTGTTATGTTTTTTTTTACTGATTTAATGTATTTTTTATGCACAATTTTAAATAATTATACTATTGTATCAATTGGGTGACCCTTTGAAGAGAAGAGATGAGACAAGATTGTTATCTCGTCTCATCTCTTTCTTTTTCTCAATCTTTGGGAGACTCGCTTATGTAACGATCACACACGCCAGTCTTTGTGGAAAGATATAGAACAAGCACTACTTACATATAGCCGGATCGTCGTAAATTCCCCTGGAGGAGCCGGGGATCGATTCTCCCTTGTTGCCTTTTGCACTCCTTCTCTATATATGCACTATACCTCAGTGCACGATATTTCATACTCCTCCATTCGCTCAATTTTCCTAAAAAGTTTTACCACAGATAACATAATTTTTACAAAGTTTTGCTTTAGGTTTTAGTATGAAAGCTATATAATAAAAGAAAACTGAATATAAAAGAAAAGGTAACTGAAAATCATTGGAATCTATGCTTTTTGCATAATATGGCAGGAATGATAAGTGGAAACGGTAGCCTATACCTATAGGTAAGTACAGCACCATAGGCGTCTTCATGTCACGCATGCCGATAGTACCCTAAACTTGTAATTTGCCATTTTTTTTTATTGGATGACAATAGAATCGTGCACTGCTTGCGCTGACGATTTATCGTGGGCACCGGTGGAGGTTGATAAGATGTACATGAGGTTATGTCAGTCAGCCCATCGTGATAAAATCACCAGGAATTTATCAGGATGAGCTCCTGAGGAAATCATAGGGAGGTCAACATGACGTGGTAAATTTGCTAGCAAAAGAGTCATTATACATTACTAACCCCATTAGGAGTAAGGGTGCGTTATTATTATTTTTTTCCCAGTTATTTGAGTACAGTGTTACAAGAAGGTCTTATAATATTGAATACTATGTTTAATATATTCAGCCTGCATACAGGCCTGCATTTTTTTTACATTAATTATAATAATAATCTCAGGACAATTCACACAGCGCCATCTAGACCCAAGTTAAGCTAGCTACAGCTTGTATTATGGGTTCTAAATGACTGTTAATAATACATAGATATATTTTTTCGTAAATACATACATATTATACCATAGAAAACACCCAGACCGATACAAACAAACATACTCATAAATACAAAAGTTTGTGCCGTGCGAGAATCGAACCCGCGACCATCGGAATTACCGCCGCCCAACAGCAAACGCAACACCTTAGGAATTGTAAGTACCTAGTACCTATACCTAACTACATTCGTTGCCCGGCCTTTTAAGAAAGAATAAGCTCTTTTCTTGAAGGTTTCAAAATCATATTGGTCCGAAAATACTATTACTGGAAAATAATTCCACAATTTTATTTTGCATGGTAAAAAGCTAAATTTTAAAATTTTAATTATACATATTTTAATATTTCAATTTTGAACTTAGATCTGTTAAAATAATTATATAATTTTAGTAAGTTAAGTATTTATTTTATTAAACGTACGTACCTATTACATTTGTAATATGGTGTTGGAGAAAGATGGAAAGAATTAGCTGGAAAGATAAAGTAAGAAACGAGGAAATACTTCACCTCCCTCCTCCTCCCTCCTCTTTATTTTATTTTTCCCTCAATAATAATTCCCATAAAATCATCGTACCGTAGGTATCAAGTGTCCTTTCCTCATCTATTTTATATTGTATTCAATATCTGCCTCAAGGTAAAAGAAAAAAGGCCAAAGAAAGAGGATGAAGTGAAGACCAAGACACAGACATCAAGCAAATTAAAGACAAAATTTGAGTCGTGTCGTATCAACATTTAAAGAGCATGATGTATCAAGTAAATTGGCAAGAGCCAACGACAAGAGCGTAGTTCTTAAACTATGAATGAACCTATTACATTTAATTACTAATTTAGAAATTGGAACATTAAAGTAAGTACTACTTATACCTACCTAATTAGGTACTTACTTATTTACATAATTCACAGCGGTGAGGGGGTGCTATATCATGTCGAATAAAGTATAGGATGCAAACGATTAGTACCTATCAGTGAAAGCACAGAATAATAATTAGGAGTTCATGCTATAATATTTATACAGTGTCAAAAGTAAGTCACTAGTGATTCTCTGATATTACTGCCATATGTTAGGTATTAGGCTCATTGATTTTAGAAGAAAAAGTGTAATCCATTACATTTAAAATAAGTAATCATGTTGCTAAGTAACAATTTATATGTAACGTGCAACTGATCGGAACGAGAATAAATTATATTTAGGTACTATTGTATATGTGTAATCCACTGAATATCTCCATCATATGTACCAAGAATTACAATTGATATTGAACAGCGGCGAATTGAAAAAGTAAAATTCAACTCTCATATAGATAGGTATCTACGTACAAACATACACAATAACAAATCCATTCGGAACAATCGCCTGAAAATTTCGTACAACAAACAACCACCACGAATTCCTTCATTACAACGAACAATGCCTACAGACGGCTACATACAAATAACTCCCTTCCAATTTAAATAACAAGCTCGCAAAGCTGAAAAACAACCCGTAACCGAAGTTGGGAATAAATTAGCAACCCCCACAGCCCCCCTTTACCCAATGTGTACATTGTGCAAAATATTATTTGCCTTGCCAGACAATAATAGGATCTAATGCCACGCCCTGACATGTTAGCTTTGGGGGAACCCCGCCCAAACGAAGCGTCGCCCCCATTGGTGAATCTCGTCTCCTCTCTCTATCGCGGTCATGTTTTGTCTCTCTTCCGCGTGTAGCTTTTCCCTCAACGCCCGAGGGGTAAATGTTTTGCTAGGAAACATATACGAGGGTTTCTAGAGTCCCGCTTGCATTGTCAAGGCATATCAAGGAATATTTTTTACGCGAATTTTATTCCAAGACGTCTCTACCTGAATGGAGTGCTAGAATTCGCTTTATGAGATTTTTTCAATAGTCACAAGTACTTTAGCTGGGGATTAAAGGCTCGCATATATATCTCAGTAAACAGTTTCCTTTGCGCGTTCTGTTGAATCTTTTATTACGATTCCGTTTGTGATATGAGCTTTTTACAAATAATAAACCTATTTTACTTATTGTTGGTGTTGTGTTCATTATATTATTATTAATATATATTCTGATGTAAATATTTACAGAAAATATTTTTCTATTTAAATATCAATTTATATATAACCTTTCCATTTACACTAATATTTTTTTTAATTTCTAGAATCGTTATTGGTCGTTAGGTACATCTATATGATGTAAGCAGGTATATATCATATCTCTATATATAAAAACCATATAAATATTTAGGAAAATTTATATTTACGTATTAACTGGACATACATAGGTATATGTTTCTTATATTATGTAGGTAGATACTATGAAACTTAATAGGTATGTATGTTGCAGAAATTAAATAGGTTATGAAGTTTCTGCAACAATTACACTTAGGTACAGTTACGTAAACACTTTTAAAGTACTTTAACTTATTGTGACAAGGTACAAAAGTATCTATACAGTATTACACGTGACTCTACCTATTGACCAATAATTAAGTACTTCATAATTTAACTATCGTTTTTTTCTAATCCATAAGCTGATATAAAAAAATATACAATTTTAAAATTTTACTACTCTTATATAGAAAATGCAGAACAATTTATAAATGTCTAACAAATAAATGTGTCTCGGTCAGTAGAGATGTTACTTTCGCATGTAGCTATTTTTTAACTTCAGAAGAGGTAGTAGGTAGATGTGAATAAATTATTGGATTCTCCAGTAAACCATGTAGATATGAGTAGGTATAAATAAATTGTTTTGATAATCAATTTCATTATATAAGTAAGTTTTTATATATGGTTGAAAATTCTTGAATTTGACTCTACAATAAACCATGTATCACATAAACTGCTACTATATATAAAGTATGCAATATTATTTATATATATTAAATGCTAGGAAATACTAAAGTATCATAAATTTTTCATCAATGTTAGGCATCTTCAAAACAAAAACATATCTAATTATAAAAATAGTTAAATTAAATATTAGCAATAATACCAGTAACATTCTATAATACTAACACAAATATTTTAAGCAATAAATCATCTCGAATAACTACAACAACAAAGTTAAATAGCGAACAGACTAATAATAATTATTAGTCGATGGCCTGAAATTCATGCACAAAGCTCCGACCCGCAGTAATAATAACGACAATTGTTGTGTTTACTGGAACGTAAACGCAGCCTAGGGCGGGGGGCCACCCCCAGGCCGGCGTGGGGCGGAGTCAGCCGGGGCAGAGCCTCCGGCGAGATGGGGCTCCGCCGCAGTCCGCGCCGCGCCACGCGCCAACACGCACCACTGACATGTGACGGTACAGCATGGAAGATTGTGATTTCAACCAATACCGCGATATGATCATCGAAGGCGACTTACCTCTGGACTTGCGACCGCCGCCGAGGTTATACCTACCGCATTACCTTCGCGACGATAACTCGGAGTATCCTCAAGACGACACGTATGTTTCTGTCGATGAAGACACACCAGAAGTACCGCCGCCGTCCAGTGATTCCGACAGATACGAGGCCTCCAGTCCAATCGACAACAAATCTAGTTCACCAAAGAAGCCAAAAATCAAGTCGTCATCACAACTCATTAAGCCGCCTTACTCTTACATCGCTCTTATCACAATGGCCATCCTCCAATCACCGCATAAGAAGCTGACGCTCAGTGGTATATGTGAATTCATCATGACGAGATTCCCTTACTATAGAGAGAAGTTCCCAGCCTGGCAGAATTCGATCAGGCACAATTTGAGTCTGAACGATTGTTTTATAAAGATTCCCAGGGAGCCCGGTAATCCAGGGAAAGGCAACTATTGGACTTTAGATCCTTTGGCCGAAGACATGTTTGATAATGGGAGTTTTTTGAGGCGTCGGAAGAGGTACAAAAGACCGGCGCCGTCGTTGCAGCACGCGCATGCTGTAGTTGCAATGCTGGCGAGGGAGGCTTACGCTCCACTTCTTCCTCTACCGTGTTACCTTCCTCCGGCTCCTATTTTAACGCTTCCTCGGCCTCCGCCAGCTACTTTACGTCCAGTACCGTTGCCTCCGAGAGTGGCCGAAATGACGGAGCCTCGAAGCAAAAGATCAAGAAACGGATTCTCAATCGAGTCCATAATAGGGCCTCAGGATCCATCTGCGGTGGAGCCAAGGAGAAGTGCATTCTCGCCGCTCCATCAGGGAACAGGCCCGCCGGATGATTGGGCGAGGTGAATGTATCTGAACGGGTGTACGTCAAGTCCATCCCCGTTCTAATATATGCCGACGGACCACGAAGCCTCGCCAAATTTTTCATCAGACTGACTTGTGACGCAATTGTTAAGAACTGAAGGTGTTTTAGTGAACATTGTACGATATTGTAAAAATAATATGCACAAAGTACGACGGGTACAGTAAAGCTTCAGCCAAATATTGAATAGTGATAGGATTAAATTGACCAAAGTATTGTAAAGTTACCAAACAGTTTCTATATGCTTTTCGGATCCGAAAAGTAAGTAATTCTTTTGTAATTTATGTCATATTAATATGCACGTTTTCAATATATTATTGTGTTCATTAAATAATTATCGCATTCCTATTTTAAATGACTTTAATTAAATACATATTGTTAAATAAGGTGTTACGTCCGTAAATTAGTTGTAAGTTCTAAACGTGCCAAAAATGTTGTTTTGCTACTTTTTAGAAAAACATTTTTATATAATACTTTAAGTCATTGAAACTCATTTTTAAATTATTAATAATATATATTATATAATTACAGAGATTCATCTATGATGTATAGTTAATAAATAAATAATGCAATTTGCATTGGTATCATCTATTAATATATTCTAAATTCAATTACAAAAAAGACTTTTAAAGTCGAACGAATAATATCGAATTGAATATTAATATAATTATTCAATTCAATGACTATGATAAAATAAGGTTAAATAAATTAAAGGTACAAACATGAAAAACAATTATTAATGTTTTTACAGCTTGTTCAATTATAAAAAATAATTTGGTTAAAAAACATGTTTTTTTCAATTAAATAAATAAAAAACACAGTTGCACGTCCATAGTCAGTGTATTTATTATAAATTCAAATGATTTTATTAAAAAGTAGCAATAATTACAATAAGTCTAGTCATTATATGTACAAAGTGTAGCGTCGAATACATCCTATGTAAATATTTTCATAACTTTTTATTGTAGGTATGTAGATAAGCAATAATTTGTTTAGTTTTAGATTCTACGGAAATAGATATTCTATGAATGATGAAATACTGCAAAAATGTTCATAAATGAGTAAGAGACGTATGAAATGGGAAGTAATTTGAAATACTATACGAGTACTTACGAAAATGTTATTATTGTAGTATATTTTTGTGTATAACTAACTTATTTTAAGATATGAAATAAGTATAAAATAATACGAAACATTTTTTAAATTTCATTTCATATTCTACATGAGATAAATACCCCAATAATGAATAAGTGTTCAGTTTACTAAGATAGGTTTAAATTATTAATATTAATAAAACTATATACGAGGCAAAAATTATGAAAATACATAAACTTAAAGAAAATACTTAAACACTGGAACCAGTGGGGTTGAGAAAATGTTCCATTGATTGAAAGTTACTATTTCAAGGTAAACATAATCTATATGAAAACCAAATTTAAGAGTTTCCGGTCGACCCGGGGCTACTAAGACATAAGAGATCAATGCTTGAAAAATTTAATGGCTATATTTTTTAAGCGTTAGGTATTGAAAATGAGACAAACAAAGATTTTATTGAGATAAAAGATTCTTCCTTTTGATACTTAATTATAATTAAAATTTAATCAATCAACAGTATCAGGAAAGAGAGACAATGATATAGTAGATTGTCTGTTTGTGATATATGAATAAATAACTTTGAGCTGGTCCTATTAGTAATGACAATAACTCAGAACAATTCACACAGCACCATCTAGTCCCAAACTACAACAAAGCAGAGCTATTAAACAGTTATTAAAAAAAAAAATAGTAATACTTAAATACATTTTTTATTTAAATACTGTACTGTACATACACATATGAAAACACCACGACGAACTCAAAGAATAACACTCATGAATATATCATCTGTTTATTAATACTTGATGCAGAACATTTTGCAGGAGTATGACATTTCGCACATTTATAGTTTATATGGAGAAGGTAAAATGCTAATATATTTTTTTAAATAATGCGTAAAATAAATATTATATCAATAAAAAAAACGTTACACACACTATCATGTATTTGACACACACGTATATATTTTATTTTGTTTAATGTTAAAGTCTGTTGTCGAAATTCGACCACTGGCCGACTACTAGTACTCAAAAATGTTCGCACTGTGCGAGAATCGAAGTCACGATACGCAGAAGTAAAGCTGTTTTAAACCACTAGACTACAGCAACCCTGTATCCATAAGGCCACGTCGCTCTACACAGTCCCACTAGGAAATCATTCTGATATATGCCTTAATTCATCAGGCTGGGCTAACTAAGTCGGATTCATTCATTTTTTATCCTCTTCCATTAATTTATAATTTACATTACTTAGTTTGGGACTGTATGACAATATGGAGCCAAAAGGTTATTATTTGTATGATTTGTTTTTAATTTGTTTCAAATTTAATATTATTTTGGTTTGATCGAATTAGGTGTTATTTTGTGGAAGGTTTTCCATTACATAATGGATTTTTTTAATTCCGCTAAACTTAATATGTGACGATCACTCATACGACGTATTGATTTGGTCACCGAATAGTCACATTAGACTTCAAACTATATCCAAACTCCATTAATTGCCTGACAATGCCTCACTCAAAGGTGAAACTCGTTTCGCAATATAGAGACACAGTAACGGTTGGAATTCATCACCAGTTGAGAATGTCGTAGCGTTGTAACGCTTCCAGTACCGGTAGCCAGGTTTCTATTGAATATTTGTGGTCTCACACATGCTAATGGTAGCAAGTTAAAAAAATTAAATCCATTAAATTAAGTAATTAAATGTAAAAGTAATTTCCTCTAAAAATTCTAACAATAAAAATGTAACTAAATGTAAATATGAGAAAAAATATTTATTAAGGACTTTATCAAAGTTTAGTTCAAAATAATGGTTGTTAAATTGTTTGCTTACCTGTGCATTTACGCGCGCGAAATACTTATACTTATATTACAATCGGTTTATAAAACGAGTTCTAAACTGTAATGTGTTCTTGTACCGAATATCCCGGTTCCAGTACCCAGTCGCGGTCTCAGCTAGTATCAAACATAATCCTATAAGAAACTAAGAGGCTGCGTCTAACTTCACCTGTTCTTAAGACAAACACACACACATCGTGTGCGGCTCGGGACATTAAACCAACATAGGGCATGGAGCTCCTGGATTACCCGACTTATCACTGAGTTGATATGCCGCGAATTACGTCACATATATCCTCATATAGATTACGGGTGGTCCTTTTATTTACACTATGGAGTTTGTGATGGGAACCTAATATAAATTGGACTCTGTTTTCTGCATTTTGACTAATGTGCCTGTAGACTCGCGACTATTATAGAAAGACAGATTTTTACGGCTTCGGTGGTCTTGCGGTTTCCTCGCACTGTACAAACATTTGTATAATTACGATTGTTTATCTCGGTCTAGGTGTTCTTTATATTTTTTATGTATATATTTACAAAAAAATGTATTCATATATTTATATCAATAGTCTGGTATCCATAACAGAAGTTCTATTTTGCTTAGGACCTGGTACTTTGAGATGACGCTGTGTGAAATGTCATGAGAAATATTATTATTATTGACATATACATATATATAACACATTAAGAAGTAGAGCATATAAAAAAGAAGAAGCAGATATACAATACATAAATTTTCTTATATGACCTTTCCTTTCCTTTTTCTTAATGTATACCAAAGTGATTCAAAAAGGCAGTAACTCAGTGTATTGTTTGCTTAGGGAAACAAACCCACTTTTCTCAATCAGCCAGGCAAGATATTCCTATAAGTTATTAAATTGAAATAGCATACAGGTTATCTATCCACCTTATGGTAAATTGTAACCGTCATCTATATGTCTATATAAACAGCATTACGAGCATTACGTTATCATTTGACACCGTGGTTACCACTCACATGTTTCATTTCGGGGGACTAATCATTACCCACTTTCCTGCTGTCTAATCTCGCCATATATATATATATATATTATAAAGCAAGTTGCTTGGATGCTGAAATAGGCGAGACTGGGGTACCCATGCACCCATGACGTTTTACATAGTCTATCTCCTACCTATAATAGTCACTATTTCTGTCTAACGATTTGCTAAAGAAGTCACAGAGCATTATCAGGATTGTAAATAGATAAAATAAATACCTAAGTAATTATATAACAGATGTATTGTGTAAATAATGAATAACTTTGTTACCAGACGTGTTGTTGCATCATAATACCTATGTACGAATTGTCAGCAAACATTATTAGAATTGCGATAGGTGTGAATGTTATGTCTATGTAAACACATCTTTGTATATTATATAAATTTAATTACTACAATTAAAATGTATTAAGTCCCAAATTTAATAAATTATAATATACATAGTACTTTATTAAATTTATAGAAGGTACATTATATAAATATTACGAATTATTATCAAAAAAAAATGGTCGCACGGACCAAAATACAGTTTACAAAGCAAGCTCGGCAGCAGAAATTGAAAAGATTGAGGATGACTTTATATTCTGTTTACATTGGTGATACAGTTTTTTTAGTCACCAATGTAAAATGCCTCTAACTTCGCATCTAATAATTTATTAATCGTAATAATTTACAGATGCGAAGTTAGAGGCATTTTTTTTAATGGTTGATAATGGAATGATGTGCCCGTCTACGTTAACGGTTTACGCTGGCGGAGACTAGTGGAGGATGACGATTGTCTAATGTTGGTTTGATCGTGAACCCAACATTAGAAATGCCTACATGTCGATTAGCATGTGGACTCCTCTATGCAGGGTCTAGTCATATTACATTGGTGTTTCTATCACTGGAGAGTAAGTACAAATTTGATATAAAGTTTTTTGGTATCGGCCGGATTCGAACTCACGAAAGTTGGAGTAATAAACCGTAAAGTTGAGATGCTCTCAAAATGACAGATCTTATTGCATTATTAACGTTATAGTGCGTTATCAAATCACTATACAAACAACGTACAGTCATACAAACTCAGCCAACATTGAAATGGATCGTGTTTCTTTATGTTTCTCAATGACATGCAATGAAAAACATCATAAATATTCCGTAACACCAAAACAATCTAATTTCGTAAAGAACAAACATATAAAATAGGACAAACATAAACTACACACAAAATAAATGTTTGGAAAAACAAACTTTGAGAATAGATACCTCGCTACATAAGTACATTAAGCTACGTAATCCAAGTACATTAAAGTACACAATTGTTTGACTTTCACTTTGAATACATCTTAAGATTCAAGGATGTTCAAATAATTCAATAGTCTAGTACTATTGAATTTTCTTGGTCGCCGAAGAGTCGAAATTCAATCATTAATTAATTTAAACTATACGTACATTATTAAGGTTCTATTGTTAAAGACTATGGTTCTATGCGTGTGTGTGTCAAATAACAGTGTGT